AAGGAAGGAAGGAAGGAAGGAAGGAAGGAAGGAAGGAAGGAAAGAAAGAAAGAAAGACAGGAAGGAAGGAAGGAAGGAAAGAAGGAAGGAAGGAAGGAAGGAAGGAAGGAAGGAAGGAAGGAAGGAAGGAAGGAAGGAAGGAAGGAAAATGAGGAGAATGAAGGAAGGAAACTGGTGGCGCAGTAGTTAGAGTGCCATATTGCAATCTAACTGCCCTCTGCCAGAGGTTCAATTCTGACCGGCTCAAAGTTGACTCAGTCTTCCGTCTTTCCGAGGTCATTAAAATGAGGACCCAGATTGTTGGAGGCAAGAGGCTGACTCTGTAAACTGCTGAGAGAGGGCTGTAAAAGCACTGTGAAGCGGGATATAAATCTAAGTGCTGTTGCTCTTGCTATCTTGCTGAAAACCATTTTTTGAAAAACACCTCCTGTTCTCTTGATTTATGCAGCTCGTTGACCCTACCTTGACTTCACTTTCATTGGACAGAATTTCCAAAGCTTCTAGATGTGACAAACCCTGAAATTCATCGAAGAGCACCCCATAATGTGCTGTCGGCTCCATCGTGGCTTGCTGGGCAAGTCTCTGCTTTTCTTTCTCTTTGGCTTCCCGCAGCAGCTGCGAAAATACAGAGGGGAAGATTCTGATTTAGGGGCTGCGAAACAGATTTAAACAGAAGTTCTCACCTCTAGACCCAGGACCAATACAGAGCAATAGGAAAAAAATAAGAAAGATAAAGTAAGAAAGTGAACTGTAACACATGCCTTACCCATATGCAAATTGGATAAGGCATGTGTTACAATTAATTTTCTTATTTTATCAGGAGTGGGCTGCTACCGGTTCACACTGGTTTGCATGAACCAAATGTTAATTTTACATATGGTTCTGTGATGACCCAGGGTGGGATACAAAAGCAACAAAGTCACAAAAACAGGTGAAGTCCCTTTAATTCCTTCAACTTGGCTTCAAAGCTCCAATTATCATTAACTGGAGAAAAAAACTCCCCCACAAACAGTTGCGAAAAGGAAGAAATGCTATTCAAACTCAAAATAGATATAAATTAGAAATAGAAAAAAACAACACAAACCACACTGAAGCAATTAATGAGACAAGGCAGGATAAGAGCTTGAAGAGTCCACAGATATCGAAATACACACACTGGGAAGGACACCAGATTCAGATAAGAACCGACAGACTAGAATTATTTCATGCTTTGCTTCCAGCACTGGGACATGCACAGCTTGTCCTTTTAAACAGTCCTCACAGCTGCAGCCCATGAAGGGGATCAAGGCCCTTTCCTCCCCCCGTGAACCACGCCATTTACGTTTCTCCCTTATCCGCTCCTCCCTGTGTGCCCTAGGAGGAAGAGGGGGTGGGCCTGGGTCTTCCTTTGAATGCCCAGCTGGCCTGTGCCCTTCCCCAGTTTCTTCCACAACCTCCCGAGCCACACTCCCACTCCCTGTTGGCTGTTCCTCCTCTCCCTCAGAGTCAGACTCCAACAGGGGCATGACAGGTTCACCAAACCAGTAGTTGCAACAACTGGCTGGCCCTGCTCACCCCTCCCCTCCCTGGAGTCTCCACGTGGCCTGTTTTGGATTGCAGGTAAGTGCAGGGCCCTCACCAAGGCTCAGGGAGGGTGAAAAACAGGCCTCCTGGAGGCTCCAGAAAGCCAGAAATGGACCCATTTCCGGCCTCCGGAGAGCCTCCGGAGCCTGGGGAGGGGGAAAATGGGCCTCCTGGAGGCTCGGGGAAAGCCTCCAGAGCCTGGGGAGGGTGAAAAACAGGCTTCCCGGAAATTCCAGAAGGACAGAAATAAGCTCATTTCTGGCCTCCAGAGGGCCTCAGGACCCCGGGGAGGCCATTTTCGCCCTCCTGGAAGCTCGAGGAAAACCTCTGGAGCTAGACCATGGCCACACACCCCCAGCCACCGGGCAGAAAACTGGTTGCTAAATTTTTTGAAGCCCATCCCTGACTCACATCATAACCCGTGTCCGTATATTGTTACTCATTGTTATCAATCAATTACAAGACTTCTGTTCAAAAGACTTTTCCAAAAAAATGGAAAACCATCTGTAAGTACTGATGGTTTGATGCAGAACCTTCAAGGACTAGAATCCCATCCTGCCAAATCAGGTGGAAGTGGCACCAACTCATCTAGACGGGACTAAATAAGAAACGTCTTGCTAAATCCCTGTTTATGAGGTAAATCTCTCTGTGCATGTTTCACCTGAGATAAAGACACAGTCCGTTCCATCAGAATTTTGGTTTTCTTGAATCCAGGATCACTTTCGGCTAGAACATTCATGGTTTTCTTGCCGATAAATTCCAAAGCATCAAGTCCGCCACTTAGGACACTTTTACCCTGTGTATAATAGAGCAGAATGCTCATGTCGACCAGCAGTTTGATAGATTTACTTATGAATAAGTAAACAAGATTAATTTGAATGGGATGAGATGGGATAGGATAGGATAGAATAGAACAGAATGAAGAATAGAACAGAATAGAGTAGAATGAAGAATAGAATAGAATAAAATAGAACAGAATGAAGAATAGAATAGAATAAAGAATAGAATAGAATAGAATAGAATAGAATAGAATAGAATAGAATAGAATAGAATAGAATAGAATAGAATAGAATAGAACAGAATAGAATAGAACAAGGGAATAAGGGAATAAGGGAATAAGGGAATAAGGAATAGAATAGAATAGAATAGAATAGAATAGAATAGAATAGAATAGAATAGAATAGAATAGAATAGAATAGAATAGAATAGAATAGAATAAGGGAATAAGGAATACAGTAGAATAGAATAGAATAGAATAGAATAGAATAGAATAGAATAGAACAGAAGAATGAAGAATAGAATAGAATAGAACAGAACAGAACAGAAGAATATAGAATAGAATAGAATAGAATAGAATAGAATAGAATAGAATAGAATAGAATAGAATAGAATAGAATAGGGGAATAAGGAATAGAACAGAACAGAACAGAACAGAACAGAACAGAACAGAACAGAATAGAATAGAATAGAATAGGGGAATAAGGAATAGAATAGAATAGAATAGAATAGAATAGAATAGGGGAATAAGGAATAGAATAGAATAGAATAGAATAGAATAGAATAGAATAGGAATAGAATTCTTTATTGGCCAAGTGTTTTAGCCTCCAGTCCCCTAGTCATCTTTGTTGCTCTTCTCTGCACTCTTTCTAAGAGTCACAACATCTCTTTTTTACATCATGGTGACCAAAACTGGATGCAGTATTCCAAATGTGGCCGTACCAAGGCATTATAAAGTGGTACTAACACTTCATGTGATCTTGATTCTATCCCTCTGTTAATGCAGCCTAGGACTGTGTTGGATATTTTACCAGCTGCAACACACGGTTGGCTCATCTTTAAACGATTGTCCATCAGGACTCCAAGATCCCTCTCCCAGTTACTATCATTGCCCGTCCTTCCTCTTATTTTATTATTAGAAATCCTTACGGTGTTCTGCACAGCACTAGTGATGGTTGACAGCACTCCCCGTGATCCTGAAGGAGATGAGGATAAGGCCACGTCCTCTTCCAAACCCTGCTGTCGATCATCTTCCACATCTTAAAGGAAGAAACCCATTGGGGAAAAAAATCCAGTAAGAACATGCTTATCAATTTTGTGAGGAAAACAAGAATTCTTGGGCAGATCGGGGCGGGGCGGGGAGGATGCTACCGGTTCGTACCGGTTCAAGTGAACTGGATGTTAATTTTACATGGGGTTCGGCGGATCGGTAGTTGCAACGGTTGGCTTGCCCCGCCCACCCCTCGTCTCCCCTCCCCTCCCCTCCCAGGAGTCTCCACACAGCCCATTTTGGATCCCAGTTAAGCGCAGGGCTAGTATGGAGGCTCAGGGAGGGCGAAAAACAGGCCTCCTGGAGGCTCCGGAAGGCCTCCGGAGGGTCTCCGAAGCCCAGGGAGGGGGGGAAACAGGCCTCCTGGTGGCTCTGGGAGGTCTCCGGAGGGTCTCCAGAGCCCAGGAAGACTGTTTCCACCCTCCCTGAGGCTCAAAAAAAAGCCTTCAGAGCCCAGGGAGGGCAAAAATGGCACAGGAGGCCGACTAGGCCATGCCCACCATGACCACGCCCACCCAGCACCCGGGCAGAGAACCGGTTGCTCCACTTTTTGAAGCCCACCCCTGGGGCAGATCACTTGAGAAAGACAGGACCTGCGATGACGTTTTCAGATGTCTCCGGAGGTCCCCCATCCAAAGATGCCGAGGAAGGTGCACGAGTTCGGAGAATGCCGGCTTTTTCTTTAACTGCCGTTAATCCTTGACCTGAAGTGGAACAAGTATAGGTAGTCCTTGACTTACAATTGTTCCTTTAGTGACCGTTCAAAGTTACAACGGCACTCAAAAGCAGTGGCTTATGACTGTTTTTTCACAGTTACGACCTTTGGGTCAGCCCCAGGACGATGAGGTCAAAATTCAGACGCTTGGCAACTGGTTCACATTTATGACCATTGCAGTGTCCCAGGGATCATGTGATCCCCTTTTGGGACCTTCTGACAAGCACAGTCAACGGGGGAAAGCAGATTTCACTTAACAACCATGTGACTCACTTAAGAACGGCAGTGATCCATTTCACACTGGTGACAAGAAAGGTCATAAAAACGGGGCAAAACTCACTAAACAAATGTCTCACTTAACAACAGGAATTTTGGGCTCCATTGTGTTTGTAAGTCAAGTACCACACACACAAACACACACACACACATATACACATGCATACATACACACACACACAAACATACACACAAACATACACACACACACACACACACGATATGCAACCGGTCTACGTTTTCTTGATCCTGAAACTTTATGAAAAATTCAAATTCAGTCAGTAAGAGAGCCACTGAAGGGTCAGAGGTATAATGAAAGCTGATGAGACCGATTTTGGGAGAGTTTTTGGCCTCAGCCACCACCAGCCCATATGAAATCAAAGATAACGTTGGCTTAGATTTACAGGATTTCACGGAGATTACATCCTGGCAAAACATTTCAAGTATTCCAATATGCAACCTTTCCTGAGTGATTTGATTTAAAGCTGGCCCTTCAGCTCCGATCCATCAGCTGATGAAATGTTAAATCACATGAAGTTCCCATCAAATGGATTTCAATCCGTATCACAGCCTATTTTTCTGGTCTTAGCTCATTGGCGCTTAATTTAATTTGGAACCAATCCTTTGCCTTGTTGCTTCTACTGTTAAGAAAACCTAATTTTTCATCCTCTCAAACTGACTTTGTATGACCTTGGAAATAATGCCACATCATCGGAGATTTTAATTCCTCCAGATCAATGACAGCCATCCATCATGTTTTATTAATTGCAGCGATCTGCTTTTGGAAGTTCGTTAAGTAAGAACAAATGGCCAAATAAAAATGTTATATTCCAGATGGATATAGGAAAGGACATAAAATGGGGCAAAACTCACAGAACAGAATAAAACAAAACAGAATTGGAAGGGACCTTGGAGATCTTCTAGTCCAACCCGCTGCTCAGCAGGAAACCCTATACCATTTCAGACAAACAGTTGTCCAATCTCTTCTTAAAAACCTCCAGTGTTGGAGCATTCACAACCTCTGGAGACCAATTGTTCCACTGATTAATTGTTCTAACTGTCAGGAAATTTCTAGGTTGCTTCTCTCCTTGATGAGTTTCCATCCATTGCTTTTTGATTTAACAACTGTCCTGCTCAATATTTTGGCTTGGCTGTGGTTATAAGTCAAGGCCTACCAAAGAATGTTCTTTCTGCGCCAACTCAGAAAACTCAAACTGCCCAAGGAACTGCTGATCCAGCTCTACAGAGCTATTATTGAGTCCATCATCTGCATCTCTATAACTGTCTGGTTTGGTTCTGCAACCCAACAGGACAGACACAGACTCCAGAGAGTAATTAGGACTGCAGAAAAAACAATTGCTACCAACCTGCCTTCCATGGAGGACCTGTATCCTGCATAAGTCAAAAAGAGGGCTGGGAAAATATCTACAGACCCCTCACATCCCAGACATAAACTGTTTCAACCAGAGGTGGTATTCAGCAGGTTCTGACCATTTCTGGAGAACCGGTAGCGGAAATTTTGCGTAGTCCAGAGAACCAGCAAATACCACCTCTGACTGGATGCTTCTCCTACCACACCCATCAAGCCATGCCCACAGAACCGGTAGTAAAAAAAAATTGAATTACATCACTGGTTTCAACTCCTACCCTTAAACGATGCTATAGAGCACTGCACACCAGAACAACTAGACACAAGGACAGTTTTCCCCTGAAAGCCATCACTCTGCTAAACAAATAATTCCCTCAATAAAGTCTGCACGACTATTATTATTAATCTTCTCATCCCTCCTTATCACCCATCCCCTCCCACTTGTGACTGTATGACTGTAATTTTGTCGCTTGTATCCTTATGATTTATATTGACTGTTTCCTAGTATGATTTGATTGTTTATTGTACCGTATGACTATCATTAAGTGTTGTACCCGATGATTCTTGATGACTGTATCTTTTCTTTTATGTATACTGAGGGTATTTGCACCAAGACCAATTCCTTGTGTGTCCAACCTTGGTCAATAAAGAATTCTATTCCACTCCACTCCACTCCACTCCACTCTACTCTACTCTATTCTATTTGGCTCTCTGGCATGAACTATGCAGATGTGGAATCTCGGAGAAGGAGAAACGGCTGGGCAGTGGGATTGTTCAGAGAGAAATGCATAAGTCGAAAAATAATTAAACAACAGTAGTTCTGTTGCCTGCACTAATGGCAGAAGCCTTTTACAATATATCCTAGTGTCAATGTACTCTAAGCCAAGGACTGATCATAATCATAGAGGAAATCATATTTTTAAGCTTAACTATGTTTAGACAATGTTTAGATAAACCGTAACTTAATATGGGTTTGGATACTTAACAACAGTAGCCGATGCAGTTGAAAGTAGGGACTTGCTCCAGGAGCCCCAGGTGGTCCATCTTTTTCCTTTGGATACTGAATCCTATGGGGGGGGGAGTTACAGAAGCAGAAAAAGATTTGCATTAGTTAAAAATTGCTACGTGCAATGGAAGGAACCAATAATTAAAGTATATGCAGCATGAAGCAGGGGGGCGTCCCGTACGGTAAAACTGTGCAGTCCTTCAGCCAAGCTCAGAGTGCACCAAGGACACCACAGTTCAGCCCTGAGCCACCTATATTCTATGCAAACAGCAATAACTATTTTAAATTAGAAGCTATGCAGCCAACGTTTTAAACAAAGCATCTTTCAAGTCCCAGAGAGTGCACAGTTGTAATGGCAACAGGCACACCTTTGGAAGACCTGAGAGTCAAAAAAAAAGTCAAGTTAGGGATAGATCATCATGGAGAACAGCTATCTATGTGAACATTAGGAATCAAAATCCTTCCATCCCTCCATCTACCCACCTATCCTTCCACCCACTTGTCCATCTTTCCA